CTCAGAAGTGTACCATATGGGTCAAATACTTCATTTCTTGCAGTCGTATAATAAAACTACTAAGGATATAACAAGAACTTGAGAACAGATGCATGCAGAATGTCCATCCTAGGGGGCTGCATATTGGTACTATATCGACTCCTCCACATGTCATCTAGTAGGACACCCCAACATCTAACATGGAGAAAGAGACTTACAGTGGATATAAGAAGTCTACTCACTCCTGTTAAAAATTCAGGTTTCTGTGATGTAAAAAAAATGAGACAAAGATAAATCATTTCTGAACTTTTTCCACCTTTAATGTGACCTATAAACTGTACTGGGCTTTGTTTTCAGCCAAGTCTACGCATACTAGCACATTGTGCTCTTAACTTGCAGGGAGAAGAGTTTTTTAAATTTATTTTTTGCAGTTTATTACCGCTTTAACAACATTTCAAAGGACCACTTGTAGCAAATGGTTTCCTTGCTACTTTAAAGAGGAATCTGATGTATGAGGATTATAAATATTAGTGAAATCATACAACCAGAAGTAAAGAAAAGAATTATATGGATTACAATCAAAAAGATTCCCCTTTTGTGGGAATTCCACCTTATAAAACATTTCAGTATAAAATATCAAAACTATCAAACTCCAGCATAATAAATTAGGAAAAAAATTGTAAATTACAGGAACAGAATTGTTATCTTCCAGCCATCCATTCAAATGAAAACCCCATTCTCCAAAGCAGCCTGTAAGATGTATTACTTTTGGGCAAGAGAACTTCTGAACATTAGTGAGGTCTTTCTCCTGAAAAACCCCTAGAATATATTCAAGAGAGAGACTGCTCACACACAAGCAAATAGACCATATACACTGAATGGGGGCAAAAGCTGGCCATAGATGGGTTTTTTTTTTTTTTTTTATATATCATAAAAAAAAAAAAAAAAAATGGATTCCCCCATCCACACAATCAAGGTGAATGAAGGAATCCCTCGCTGCACTATTGTATTCTGTCAGTGTGACTTTTTGCTATCAGAATACACTAATCAGTGCTGCAACCTATTGAGTGGAATCTTTCTAACATGCCCCTTTGAGAGCAGCAGATTGTGAGATTGGCTTCTCTTTAGCAGGAATGACTATAGATGGATATAGATGGAAAGATATTCGTTATGGCCTGCTTTACTGCCTGGGAGAATAGGACACGATAAACTTCATTCTGCAAAACATGTAAACTTTATTTTCTATTATAAAGTTTTTAGAGAAGCAGCTGGATAAATCTACAGTTAAAAGCATAAAATCTTTTTAACATGAACGTATCCCCCCACATACCAACATATTTCAAGGGTTCTGGCAAACTGCATATGTCATTGCAAATGGAGATTTTTATCTCGTAGTGAGTGTCATTTAAATGCCTGAGCAGAATAGGGATTATAGACAAGTCCTGATTTTACCAACCTCTGAAACACAGGAAATAATTCAGTTTGTTGGTGTGAAATCTTATGCTAGCCTATGTATGACAATTATAACCATTTTTAATTGTAAAAACAGGCAACAGATCGACAACCTAATGCTTCATTCAAAACTGTAAAATAGGTAGGTTCTCTTGATCTGTTTAATTGTTTTTACAATTAAATATAGCCAGTTTTAAAAGTACAGAATAAAGAAATAAAATCAGCAACAAACCTAATCCAATACCAGGTCACCTATAGGTTCCTGAAAATTCTATAGCAACATATCATTGCTATCTGAAAGTGGTCTCAAAAATGGAAAAATTAGGAGAACACTGTAAACAGTGTAAGGACAACATGCAATAAAAGGGTAAGGGCACAATTAGCGCCTCAATAACTTCTCCCAGAATCCTGACAAACCACCTTCTGCATCTCGTGTGCATGCGCACATCTGCAGATGAAGCTGAAGGCAACAGTAAAAACATTCAAAATAAGTCTGTGCAAGAGCTTAATGTGAAGCATAGTGAAAACCTTGACAAAGTTGGGAGAGGTAAGTATGTGGTTTGTCAGGGATGGTGGGGGAGGATATGAATTACCATTACACTTTAAAAATAACCACTGTCACTAGGTTTATAATAAGATGAACTGTTTTCCACTGGCTGCTTAGGGTGTTCTTTTTGCAGCATTAGGTGTCCTACCACTCAACACCATGTATGAAGTCTGTACATTCCTCTTAGGGCTCGTTCACACTAGGCTGTTTTGCCAACGCTTGCCAAACGCCCCTATAGCGTTTGGCAAGCGTTGGTCCGGCGTTTGCGGAGCGTTTTTTAACGCTCCGCAAACGCCGCATGCGCGGTTTAGCGGCGGTTGCTAGGCGTTTGCCGAGCGTTAATAACGCCCCACAAACGCCTATAATGCAGTTTGAGTGGTGTTACCGCTCCGCAACCGCGTCGCAAACCGCACCGCAAACGCCGGCCGGGCGTTTGCGGAGCGGCACCATAGACGAGAATAGGAGGCTTCAAAGCCTCCTGACTCGTCCAGAGGCGTCCGTTTTGCCGTGACGCGACGCGACGCAAACGCTCCCGTTAGAACAGCACCATGTGCTGTAATGTGCAGAATTGGCAGAGGCATTTGGGAAGCGGTAAAAACGCTTCCCAAACGCCTCTCTGCCGCCTGCACACAAGGCTAGTGTGAACGTAGCCTTAGACATGTGCAGAGCAAAAAAAATTTGTTTTGTTTCATTTTCGATGGATTTGTTAAGTTAACAATCTTGTTTTGTTGCATTTGTTAAATTCAGATGATTCATTTTCGTAATTAGCTTACTTTCGTTATGTTTTGTTTATTCGTTTTTTAATGGATTAAAATTTTCGTAAGTATTTGAACTGAATCGAAAATATTGAATCGATTTCAATATCCAAAATTTAGTTAGGTACTACTTGTTCATAGACTGTTTATATATTTGTGATTTTAGAAGACAAAACGTTTTCACAACATGAACGCCTCCATCATGGGCCCCGCAGAATATGTTACATGAAATTTTAGGTACGTTATCATCATTATCACATATACAAATTGTGGCGCTACAAGAGTATCAACATGTGCTGCTGGACCCCAAACACCTTGATGCTATTCATAAAATACCAATAAATTCTTCTATAGGAAATTATAGCAGCAACTTTATGCGATGTATAACAATGTATTTACTAGTCTATTACTAACATGAGACTCACGTGATCGAAGATACTGTCTTTTTGTATACCCTAAGAAACACATGCATAAAAGTTATGTTGAGTATAGTCATTAAAAGCATGTTATGCCTTCAGTAGTGCACACAATCCACTGCCGCCAAAATAGGGTTGGGAGGATTTACCAACTTGGGTACAACCAGAATGTAGGATTTTTCATTAGATTAGATTATTACTCTGATACCCCTAACTAAAATCTAGTGGAACCAACTACCTGATTAGTAAATAGAGTCCACCTGTGTGTAATCTCAGTATAAATACAGCTGTTCTGTGAAGCCCTCAGAGGTTTGTTAGAGAACATTAGTGAACAACCAGCATCATAAAGGCCAAGGAACACACCAGACAGGCCAGGGATAAAGTTGTGGAGACGTTTAAAGCAGGGTTAGGTTATAAAAAAAATCCCAAGCTTTGAACATCTCACAGTGTACTGTTCAATCCATCATCCGAAAATGGAAAGCATATGGCACAACTGCAAACTTACCAAGACATGGCTGTCCACCTAAACTGACAGGCCAGGCAAGGAAAGCATTAATCAGAGAAACAGCCAAGAGGCCCATGGTAACTCTGGAGAGCTTCAGACATACACAGCTCAGGTGGGAGAATCTGTCCACAGGACAACTATTAGTCGTGCACTCCACAAATCTGGTCTTTATGAAAGAGTGGCAAAAAAAGCCATTGTTGAAAGAAAGCCATAAGTAGTCCTGTTTGTAGTTTGCGAGAAAACGTGGTGGGCACAGCAAACATGTAGAAGGTGGTGCTCTGGTCAGATGAGACCAAAACTAAACTTTGTGGCCTAAAAGTAGAACACTATGTGTGGTGGAAAACTAACACTGCACATCACCCTGAACACACCATCCCCACTGTGAAACATGGTGGTGGCAGCATTATGTTTTGGGGATGCTTTTCTTCAGCAGGTACAGGGAAGCTGGTCAGAGTTGATAGGAAGATGGATGGAGCCAAATACAGGGCAATCTTAGAAGAAAACCTATTGTAGTTTGTGAAAGATTTGAGACTGGGGTGGAGGTTTACCTTTCAGCAGGACAACGACCCTAAACATACAGCTAGAGCTACAATGGAATGGTTTAGATCAAAGCATATTCATGTGTTAGAATGGCCCAATCAAAGTCCAGACCTAATTCCAATTGAGAATCTGTGGCAAGACTTGAAAATAGCTGTTTACAGATTTTCTCCATCCAATTTGACAGAGCTTGAGCCAATTTGTAAAGAAGAATTGGCAAAAATTTCACTCTCTAGATGTGCAAGGCTGGTAGAGGCATACCTTGCAGCTGTAATTGCAGCAAAAGGTGGTTCTACAAAGTATTGGCTCAGGAGGGCAATACAAATTCACACCACACTTTTCAGATATTTGTAAAAAAAATTCTGAAAACCATTTATCATTTTCCTTCCACTTCGTGTTGGTCTATCACATAAAATCCCAATAAATTACATTTACATTTTGTGTGTGTGTACATAACATAACCCACGTCTGAAAAAATGGCACACCTTTCTGTGGAAGCATTGCATACTGTTCCTGAGGTCTAAATGCCTCCAACATTCAAAATTATATTAATTAAAATTAATTAACTAGTTGCCGACCGCAGATAGCCGAATGACGGCTGCACTGCGGACGGCCAGTTCTGGGTGGACGTCATATGACGTCCTCCCAGAACGCGCTCTCCTGCGCGCCCCAGGGGGCACGCACCCGGCGATCTCCGTGATCGCTGTGTCCTACGGACACAGCTGATCACGTGATGTGGTAAAAGGCCAATCACAGCGGCCTTTTACCACGTGATCAGCGGTGTCCAATGACACGCTGATCACAGGGAAATGCAAGTGCTGGTTCTCGGCTGCACTTTCCTCACGCTGTCAGATCGTGAGGAAAGTACTGCCGAGAACCGACAGTTGTCAGAGCCAGGATCGGCACCAATCATCAGGGCACTGATGATCAGTGCCCTGATGATCGGTGCCCAGCAGTGCCACCCACAAGTTCCGCCCACCTGTGCCCAGCAGTGCGCCCACTAGCTCCGTTCACCTGTGCCCAGCAGTGCACCCACCACCTGTGCCCAGCAGTGCACCCACCTGTGCCCAGCAGTGCACCCACCTGTGCCACTCTGCAGTGTCACACACCTGTGCCCCAGCAGTGCCACCCACCTGTGCCCACCCACCTGTGCCCACCAGTGCCACCCACCTGTGCCTACCCACCAGTGCTGCCCACCAGTGCCACCCTCCAGTGCTGCCCACCAGTGCAGCCCAGCAGTGCTGCCAGTCAGTGCCACAAGTCAGTGCCCAGCGGTTGTGCCAGTCAGTGCCCAGCAGTGATGCGGTCAGTGCCGTCTATCAGTACCCATTATCAGTGTCACCTATCAGTGCCACCTATCAGTGCTGCATATTAGTGCCACCTATCCATGACACCTCATTAGTGCTGCCTACCAGTGCACATCAATGCCACATATGAGTGCCCATCGGTGCTGCCTTTCAGTGCCAGTCAGTGCCACCTATCAATGCCAGTCAGTACCACCTATCAGTGCTGCCAATCAGTGCTGCCTATCAGTGCCCATCAGTGCCGCCTATCAGTGCCCATCAGTGCTGCCTCATCAACGCACATCAGTGAAGGAGAAAAATTACCTGTTTGAAAAATTTTATAATAGAAACAAAGAAACTTTTTTTTTTTTTCAAATTTTTTGCACTTTTTTTATTTATAGCGCAAAAAGTAAAGCGCCCAGTGGCGATTAAATACCACCAAAAGAAAGCTCTATTTTGTGAGAACAAAATGATCAAAATTTCATATGGGTACAATGTTGCATGACCGCGCAATTGTCAAAGTGCGGCAGCGCTGAAAGCTGAAAATTGGCCTGGTAAATAAGGGGGTATAAGTGCCTGGTAGGCAAGTGATTAAATTTGAAAAATGAATGGCTCTAAACATTTCATAGAGATCAATGATAGGGAAAGGAGTAAACAAAACACATTTCACCAAATACCAATTATTTTAAAAGAGAAGAATGGGATTTGAACAAAACAAAAACATTTATACTCACTCGGTCTGATGCTGCATCTGTCTCTCAACACTTCTAGACCAAGAACTTGATTGATCACTCAGTTCCCAGTCCTCACTGAACAAAGAGCCAGTGACTGTCAGTCTGTCGCTCTCTGCTCTGCCCCTCCAGCACCTACTGGAGTGCTGGGCTGTGGAGGGGTGGGAGCGGCTGGCTCAGGCTCTCAGAAGGGTGCTGAAAATCTGAGCCAGATCTCAGTCCAGTCATCTAGATGGATCACAACATTAAAATTGGGATCCTTTGGCTGGCTCTGTGACGTCAGCTGACAACGGACTATAGCCTGCTGTCAGCTGATATGAGTCAAAATAGTACAGAACAGGGTGGATAAAAATCAATGATTTTATTTTTTTTAAATATCAGATTTTTTTTTTAAATTTAAATCGGATTTTTTGGATTATCAAATTTATTTTAATAAAATGCTTTTGGAGTAAAAATCTATATAAAAGATAGTTTTCTATTTAAGATACATTAATAATTTAGTTTATTCAGCATGAAATGCAGCTTAGTTATGTAGCATGAGGCTGTATATTCTGCAATATTTACATTTTTGGTCAACTCATTCAATGAATCCAAGCTCTGCAAGCTGAGATAACATGCACTGCATTGATACATTCACACAATTTCACAGTAACCATGAGAAAAATAATGAAATAAAAGAATTTGAGTCGTTCTCCAAATTTGTGTGATTAACCTATTAACCTAAAATCGGTTCTGATATCACTGTTTTACCAACCTGACAGCATATTATTCTAAAAAGGAAACCTTCATTTGGTTTGCAAATATTAAAGATTCAAACTACCAGCAAGAATGAGTTAGATTCCTTACATTTAAAGAGCACCTGTCATTGTAGATCCATCATGACAGCTCCTGTTAGCCGGCATCCACTCACCTGCTGCTGCCACGTCCCTCAACTTGTGTCACTGTCGCATCACCAGCCGTCCCATTAAAGTGAATGGGAATGTTGGAGAGTCAACAGCGGGTCAGAGGAGGCACCACTGCAGGACAGAGATGAAAGTTGCTCTTTAAAAATTATGATTTATATCAAGCCTTTTCACTAGTGATATAAATCAACTTGAATTAAATCATATCCACCCTGGTGCAGAATGAAGTGCACTCCTGCGATTCCCAGGGGAAGTAGGGTCAAAACAACTTTGGCCCTACTTCTCCTTCAAAGCTGAACTCCAGGTAAAACAGCTAATGCATTTGAAATACATACAGTTGTGCTGAAAGGTTTGCATACTCTGGCAGAAATCGTGAAGTTTTGCATTGATGATAAAAATATGAGTGATCATGACAAAAAACTGTCTTTTATTTAACCACTTACCCTCCTGAGGATTTACCCCCCTTCCTGACCAGGCCATTTTTTGCATTATGGCGCTGGGTTACTTTGACAATTGCACGGTCACGCAACGCTGCAACCAAATTAAATTTACGTCCTTTTTTCCCACTAATTGAGCTTTCTTTCGGTGGTATTTGATCACCTGTGCATTTTTTTTATTTTTTGCACTATGAAAAAAGACCGACAATTTTGAGAAAAAAAACTATATTTTTGAGTTTTTAACTACAGTATGAGCCTCCTGCGCTACTAAATGAACAATCCTACCGAACGGGGGGGGGGGGCTGCTAGCACCCAACCATATACGAAATTTATACTAAAGACAAATATATATATATATAAACTGGTACAGCGCTTACCCTGAATGATAACTACTACTGCATAAATACAATAATCATTATTAATACGTGAGTAATTATTATTACTATACAGTATTTATGAAGCGCCAATAGTTCGCTCAGCGCTGTACATTACAAAGGGGGACATGTGACAGAACAACACCAATACAATGCAAAACATGAGGGGATTGAGGGCCCTGCTCTTTCGAGCTTACAATCTAGGAATAATGTATACTGTGAATATTATCGTGAAGTGAACTGATCCACTCAGGGATCTAAAGTGAAAACAAAAAGTGACTGAACATGGTGCCCTATAAAGAAACAGTGAAACCAAAAATTCCAAAGGGGACTAAAATGACGTGAAAAGATGAATAAATAGTATATAACAAATCCCTGAAATTGGTACCAATAACTCACAAAAAATAATGATCACAATGGCTCAATAATGCCAAAAATTGGAAAAACAAAGTGACAATAAGCGAATCCCTAATGAGGGATCAAACTCCGCGTTAGTGATAAGTGCTGTGTTATAACATCAAAAAAATTAACCAAATAAATATGAACATATAAAAACAATGTTTTGAAAAAAATCAACACCACTCAGTTTTAAAAAATATTATGCAATAAGTCCAAAAAATAAAAAAGTAAAAAAAGTATCAAGAAATATATATAAAAAAAAAATATAAATATATATAAAAAGTTCAAAGGTGCATGAACACCAAGTGATCCAACGATTTTTGAAACTTGCAGGTGATAAAGTGGATGTGCATAACAACCAATGGGAAATAATCCGTAAGCGGCTGAACTGCCCCCTCACCTCCTTGAAGCGACCCAAACGGGCCATTTATTATCACATAGTTGTTTGGATCCTCTTTAAATTATAATCATAACAGAAATTACCCAAATGGCCCTGATCAAAGGTTTACATACCCTGGAATGTTTGGCCTTAGTACAGACACACAAGGTGACACACACAGGTTAAAATAGAAATTAATTTCCCACATCTATGGCTTTTTAAATTGCAATTAGTGTTTGTGTATAAATACTCAGAGAGTGTGTTAGCTCTCACATGGATGCACTCAGGCTAGATAATAAGCCATGGGGAGCAAAAAAAAAAACCTGCGTACCAAGATAATGGAATTTTAGAAAATGGAAATGGATATGAAAAGATAGCCAAAGGCTTGAATATGCCAGTCAGCACTGTTTAATCACTTATTAAGAAGTGGAAAATTCAGAGACCTCTTGGTACCAAGCCATGGTCAGGTAGATCAAGAACGATTGCAGCCACAAGTGCCAGAAGAAGTGTTTGGTATACAAAGAAAAACCCACAGGTAACCTCAAGAGAAATACAGGCTGCTCTGGAAAAAGACGGTGTGCTTGTTTTTAAGGAGCACAAGACAATACTTGAACAAAAATGAGATGCATAGTTAAATTGCCAGAAAGAAGCCTTTACTGCACCAGTGTCACATAAAAGCCCAGTTACAATATGCCCAACAACACCTTGACCCGCCTCACAGGGCTTTTTTTTTCCCCCCCGCCGGCTCTAAGGGTGAGAACTTAGCGATCAGACATCACTGATTGCTCAGTTCTCCCTGACACTTTGAGCAGAGAGCGATGACTATCAGTCACCACTGTCTGCTCCCCCCCCCTAGCGTTCACTGGAGCACTGTGCTGTGGAGGGGGCAGGAGCAGTTGACTGACTCTGGGTGGATCCCGACCATATGGTCACAATCTTTCCCCAGCCTGGACTGGCTGAGTGACATCAGCCTGTCAGCTGATGAGTCACAGGAGTGCAGAACGAACTGCACTCCTGTGATGCACAGGAGAACAACAGCCAATTGAGCTTTGGCTGTACTTCTCCTTTAATCTGTTATGTTAAAAAAACAAAAAACACTGAGGGTTTACTATTACTTTAGGTAAATGAACACCTTAATACAACTGACTGGCTCCTCATGCTGCTTCTCCCTCTGCCAACTGGATCTCTGCTTTACAGGGTGTAACAGAGGGCTGATATCAAGACAAATTCCGGTTCTGGTACTTACACTTCTTGCATGATTTTTCATGAACACAGAGCTGCATTATTCTGTCTCTTTTATATTTGCCAAGAATTTAGCTTTAGATAAGGATCATTAGACAAAGCGTTGTAGATGTCACGTTAGGAAGGTCAGTTAAAGCAGCATATCACTGGGCTTCCCCAACTTTATATGACAACATTGGAACTAGTATTTCTATTCAATATGAGTGTTATTTTTACAATTTAGAAATCAAAAGATGAAATGTAGAAAGTAACACTATCCATTCAAAACTTTAACAACCCCTGTAAAAAGATGTTACTCATTTGTAAAAGATTTACAGTATCCCATTAAAACAGAAAATCCTTAACACATGACCAATTACATGTAATTCTCCTCTTCATGGAAAATCTCAGGCCTTAATTCTTTTGCTTTGAGGTCTGTGCTTGTCATTCCAAATCTGGCTGTAGCATTTTTCTTCATAGTTTCAGCTAAACGCTCATAAAGACTCAACACTAAAAGAATGGTTTGTTGTGTGAGGACGCACAATATAATCCTGTGTCAATGTGTTTTCTAAATATAT